AGAAAAGATTCTAAAATGCAAAGATATACAACTTAGCACAAAAGTTAGAATAATACAAGCCATTGTATTCCCTATTACCATGTATGGATGTGAGAGCTGGACAGTTAAGAAAGATTATAGGAAGAAAATCAATTCCTTTGAGATGTGCTACTGGAGAAGAGTGCTGAGGATCCCATGGACAGCCAAAAGAACAAACAAATGGTCCTAGAGCAGGAAACCTCCCTGGAAGCCAAGATGATCAAACTGATGCTGTCGTACTTTGGACGCATCATGAGAAGGGAGGACTCATTGGAAAAGACAATTGTGCTGGGAATGGTGGAAGGAAGTAGGAAGAGAGGAAGGCCACATGCTAGATGGATGGATTCTATTAAGGAGGTCACAGGTATTAAGGGGTTGCACGATTTAAGCAGAGCAGTGGAGGACAGGGAGGCTTGGAAATGTCTCATCCATAGGGTTGCCATGAGTCGAGATCAACTCGAGGGCAGTTAACTGGCTTTTAGGCATGCGTCGTCTAAACACCACACCTCAAAGTCAGTCTGAAAGCACGTCTTTTTGCCCATCTGTATAGCCCCTTAGTCCCTTACTAGATGGGCCAGATTGTAGCCATCACACTGGACTGGGTGTTCTGGCTGTGGATGATGGGAAATGTAGTAAAATATATCTGGAGGATCTCACAGTGAAACGATCTGGTCTATATGTGCATGCATAGAGAGAGTGAAATTTCAGTAGAGAACTGTAACTGGAGTTTCATTTCTTTTCTCCCCTTTTGCTTTTGCAATAAGCATTCATGAATAAGATGAATAGAAGCACTCTTTGCATGGATGTTAGATCCTAGAAGTAATAAAAAGCAGAGTGTCTTACTTTGCATGCTTGCTTATTTTTATATATTGCTCTCAGATTAATGGTTCTTATCTTGAAAACCACAGGGAGGTGTTCATGCTGAAGGGAGGTGTATAAACAAAGCATGCTTTGTTTATGGAGAAGTACTACTCTTCAGGTAGATTCAATCAGCTATATCAATTATTAACACGTGCTTCTTTCCAATATAATAAATGTTTACTTTTTTAATTAAAATAATTGGTACTTCAAGTAGAGGCAGTTGGTATGAATGGCTTGATCACAGTTATTACCTCCGAGCATTACTAAATTAATGTGGCTGAATAATTTAATCGAACCAGTAAAAAAATACTGTGTAGTAATAACTGTGCATTGTGTAGAAGCTAATAATAATGCTTAAACATAGTATTTCATTCTTTGATATTTGTTGAGTGAATTGCACACACTTTAAGAAACAGTACAAAAGAGATTTTTTAAATATTGTTGAAAATATCAATGTTTCCTTGGAAGTTGTTCAGTCATATTCAATGGGTCTTAACACTGGGATATACATAGGATTTTGGTGTTAATCTTATCGACCCTGACTATTGTCTACTGTATATTGGATGGCTCTAATGGAGTTATTGTTGTTGTTTTTCTATCCCACCTTTCCCCCAGTTTGGGACTCAGAATGGCGTACAGCATTAAAAAAACACATAATTAAAAATCCAGAAGATACAACAATTAAAAAAAGATTTTTAAAAAACCCAAAAATGTATCATTTCTCTCTCTCTCACACACACACACATACACATACACACACAAACACTATTTTGAGTTGCCATTCATAATATTTGAAGGACTCCAGATTGTGGAAGGTTGGTGTAAGGTTATCTAGCTAGAAGTGTCTTGATACTCTGCATCATCCTGCTCAACCCAGCTCTCAAATGAGGCTTATGGTGTTATGTTACTCTTCTGGACACTGCTTGGAAGAGGTGAAAAACAGTAATTACAAGTAATGATTACCCTTCTCTTCCAAACTCAGAAGCAGTTAGATCCAAGTGAAGAAGATGAGTGAAGAGCTGAGCATCTCTCTAGGCTCTCAAATTACCTGTCTATTTGAGACTAACTGTGTGAAAGAAGTTGTAGCATAAACTTTTGTAGACTGTCTGCTTCCTCAGATGCATCTGGGGAAGTAGACCAAGTCTACAAAAACGTATGATACAACTTCACACAGTAGTCTCAAAGGTGCTACAAGATCCCTTTGCATACTGATCTTCCAGACTAACACATCTTTGTCTCTGAATTCTGTCTATTTATTGAGGTGAGTTTTTTCATTTTTAAATCCAGCCACCCCAAAAGCTCCCATGTGAATTCCTGAAGCTACCTTTCACTGAATCAAAGCATTGTTCACGCTAAGCACTCTTGTCTATTTGTTGAATTGTACAATCATTGAGATGGAAGGATCCACAGGGGCAATATAGTCCAGTCTCCTGCCATACAGGAATAGACAACTAAAGCACTTACGAGAGAAGTCCATCTATAGTGCACTACACTCTGAGGCAGTCTATCCCATTGTCAAACAGTACTTATTTTTCCTGCAATTTGAATCTATCTGTTCATGTTCCTGTTTCTGGAGCAACAGAAAAAAGGCAACAGTCTGGAGCAACAGTCTTTCAAATACTTAAGTAAGACTGTTGTTAGGACTGAACATATCAGTGCTAGCCAGCATATTCTATGGTGAGGGATTGTGGGAATTGTAGTCCAGAAGCATTTAGACAGTCACCATTGCCTGCCCTTGCTTTAACTGGACATGCTAGGGATTGAACCTGGGAAACAATGCATGTAAAATATGTGCCCTGTGACTGTGCTGTGAGTCTTCTTCAATGTGGCTGACGCCACAGCTGCTTGGCCAGTGGTATGAAATGTGTCAGGGTCATCGCTAGGGGGTGTAGGAGAATGTATTGCATTAGGTGATACTTTGGGGAGGTGAACACCTGGTGATGCAGTTACTCCTGTCCATCCCAAGCACCTCTGCTGCCCATTGGCTGCAACCACTGGTGGAGGTGGTGTGCATTGCTGCTGGGGAAGTGAGAAGGGGTGCTCACGCAGATGTTGGGCCAGACCCGGAACAAGCTTTCAGTGGTAGCAGCACTGTTCCCCTGCATCAGTGGCCACTGGTGGGGGTCCTACTCTTCAACACTCTGATGGAAGGGGCTGCAGGGAGGCAGAAGCTCCACACATATTGGCCATGCTTGCTGGAGCCTTCTGGGAGTTACAGTACAAAAAGAAAAAGAAGGAAATTTCTGAAGCTCTGGCTTTGCTTCTTTGCTTTGGTCCTTTCTACAGCTCCAAAATAGTGGTCTTCAGCTGATCGTTCAAGTCCAGTGACTGAGACAGAAACTGATCTAAGGTGAGGTTCAACTCACTGCCATCATATCTGTATATCTGTATCAATCTGGTTTCATATGTAGGTATTGAGAACCAGCATAGTGTAATAGTTTGAGTGGTGGGATAGGACTGGGACACCAGGCTTCAAATCCCCACTCAGTCCATAGAAACCTACTGGATGACCTTGGACAAGTTACAATCTCTCAGCCTTAGATGAAGGCAATGTCAAACCTCCTTTGAACAAATCTTGCCAAGCAAACCGCATGATATGTTTACCTTGGGTTTGCTATAAATCAGAAATGACTTGAAGGCATTTGAACAACAACAAATTAGACATTAAATATGGGGGGAGGGAGAAGGTGACAGGACAGAAGCAGCAAAATTAAGAAATGGCTCCTCAAAGCCAAAACTGAATAGAAAAATCTGAAAATGCTGAGGACTAGGGTTCTAAAGCATAATGACTGACAACCAGCATGGTATAGTAGCTACAGTGGACTAGCTCATGTCCTAACCTATCTCAAAGGGGAGTTGTAAGAATAAAAACAAGGAGGAAGTGGTTTTCCTCCTCTACTGTGAGCTTCTTAAGAGGAAAGATCAGTGGTAAATAGAAGAAATAAATCATTAATCAACCACTATGTGGATCATTCTTTTCCCTGAAAATTGTTCCATTGATATAACTTGTCAAATCTATGAGCTGCTCCCTGATATGGAGAAGTATATAAATAAAGTTCAGTGAGTCCTCCACATTCACTGGGGATAGAGGCACAGGGCCCCAGTGAAAGTGGAAAATGAAAATGAAAAAAAAAAAAACCCTGCATTTTTTACCTGAGGAAACACTTCCCTAAGAATGTCTAGGTCAGTGATAGCGAAACTTTTAGGTATCAAGTGCCCAAACTAAACAGCCTTCCAGCACCAGGTGTTGCCCTGTGCCAAGAGGCAGGACTTCCAAGGGGAACAGGAACTCCAGGGAGGACTTCCGCCCTATAGGGCGGGACTTCTGGGGTGGAACTTCTTCCCCCCCCCCGCCCCACACATATTCCCAGGCCTTCAGCTACCTCTCCAGAGAGAGCTGAAGGCCTGGGATGGCTGGGAGGGGGAGGAACAGACGCACACTTCCTCCTCTTTCCCACTCTGCGTGCCAGGGAAAATGGCTTTGAGTGCCATCTCTGACATGCGTGCCATAGGTTCACCAACATGGCTCTAGGTCCTCCAACGCAACACTATGTCAACATCAGCCTGAAGTTCACCATAGAAACATGCTGAGGGATGTACAGCTGCCTGGAGAAGTGTTCTCTCTGGGAATCTCTAGGTCCTCAAGTGTGACTCCTAAGGTGAACTTTGAGAAGAGTCACACTGGAGGAGCCAAAGAGTCTTATACATAACATATCAATCAAATTTGTGAATAATCAAATCTGCAACAGTCAAAAGCACAAATGTGGAGGGCCAATACAGTCTGCACTTCTGTTTGAGACTCACCCATCCCCGCATAAAGCAAAAAATGTGGGATCTCAAGTCCTATTTGTTTGAATGGGGCACTGTGCCATTTAACCAGGGCTCGCTGTCTGTGTGACCTTGAGTCATTACATCATACATACATTATCTATTTTATCATCAGAGAATATTTCGTACAAAGAACTGGTGACTTAGAATGGAAGCAGGAACAGATCTCTACAGCAGTAGCAGCAGCAGTAGCCAAACTTCCATTTTGAAATCTGAAATGGTAATATGCTTCAAAACTGTAGACTAAAACATTCAGATGGCACTACGTTAGGAAATGTATTACTATATGGAAAGCCAGAGTGGTATAGTGGTTTGAATACTGGACTACAACTCTGGAGACCAGGGTTCGAATCCCTGCTGAGCCATAGAAATCCACTGGATTACCTTGGGCAAGTCACTCACTCAGCCTAGGAGGAAGGGAAAGGCAAACTCTCTGAACAAATCTGCCAAGAAAAAAACATGATAAGTTTTTTGAAAGTTGGAAACTACCTGAAGGCACACAATGACAAAAACAGCTATTATGTACCAAAGTTATTTTTTAAATAGTAGATATATACTAAATATTTAGATCCTGCTTCACACATATGTATGTGCAAAACAATCTATTAGAAACAATTACTATCTCATAGAGAACACAGTGATAATCCTCAAATGCCTATTGTATGCATTGATAAATGATCAAAAGGCATATTCTCAGCTGTAGTGTGCAGGCCACATACAGATCACATCAGTACACTGAAGTGCAAAAATGCATGGTAGGTTCTCCTCTCAAACATGATAGTCTTGGCCTCCTTACATGTCACAGCATACAGTGCTTTGCCATGTGTGCATATTTACCACAATCTTAACACAAAAGACTATCACTAAGGCATATGTTCATGCAAATGGAGCTTCTGTTTCCCGTCATTTAATGAAAGTCCTATAGTCTACATGCAGCAGGGATGGGAATCGTGGTAGCCCAAATGTTATTGGCATACAACTCTCAACAGGCAGCCCCAGGCAGCACAACCAATGGTGTGGGATGCTAAGAGGTGCCATCTATCAACTACTGAAGGGAGAAATGATTTCCACACATGATGTATAGAAGCCATCTGTCGGGGGTGCTTTGATTATGTATTCATGCATGACAGAGATTTGGATTGGATGGTCCTTGAGGTCTCTTCCAACTCTATGATTCTATTCTATGATTCTAATTACCAGATAAGGGAGATTGTATTTTCTTCATCTTGGGGAACCAGCATGAAGCATATTGTCACAGTGGCATCACTAGGGTTGGTCATCCCAGTGAGCTAACTAATGCTGTCGCCTCCATTAGCTGCCTGGCTGGCACACACCCCAGCCACCAACCTCTGCCAGCCAGACTGCCTCTCCAGTGGTGAACGGTGGGGTGGAGCAGCTCCTGGCAGCCTGTTCTCTCTGGGTCTGGCACGGCTGCTCACCGAGAAGGCATCGCACCTCCCACCAGTAGCTACAGGCAAAGCAATTGAAGAACAGAACTCAGATCATCTAGAGATCTTCAGATATAGGACACAAATCACACCAAACCAAAGCATTAGCTCCAAAACAGTAGGCAGACATGGCAGGCATACCACCAGCAGTCTTAGTTACCACATGTTGGCTCTGTTCATTCATTGGAGAAGTTAAATAAAATGGGAATTTCATGGTGATGTTACACTTCTGTTGTTGGCTTAGCTCAAGTTGCAGTTTCTGAAGCTTCCCACATGGTGGCACCAAATATCTATGCCTGGCTTTTATATGGAGCAAATGGATTCTTGTGCTTGTACAGAAGTGGTCAAGGGAGGTCATGGCAACAGCTGCACTAGCTTATCATCAGGATCCTGTGGCACAGGGCTTCATTTATGCTGCTCAGGAAAATCAGGCATTGCCTGCCAGGTGCTTTATGGTGCCATTGTACAACACTTTCACAGATGCAGGGACAGAACGCACAGGGAGGATTTGCCTAGATGAGTGCGTCTCAGACTTTCTGATGTGGGGACTGGCAATTATTATTTTCCAGTGTGCCAGAGATGATGATCTCCTCCTCCTCCTCCTCCTCCTCCTCCTCTTCTTCTCCTTATATCCCACCTTTTTTCAACAGTGAGACTGAAAGCTGCTAACAGCATATTTAAAAACAAGTCAGATTGAAAGCTATACAAAAACATGGATACAAAGGCTATTTAAAAACAATTAAACAATTTATAAAGTTAAAAACATTAATACTAACCATATACTAACCATAAAAACAAGACCACAGCATTAAAAGTTCGTTCCACTTGGTTTCTAAAAGCCTGGCAGCACAAAATGTGTTACCCTAACTGCAGAAGGAGAGCAAGAACGGGCCCATCCTGGCCTCCCTAGAGAGCGACTTCCAAAGTCTGGGAGCAGCCACTGAGGAGGCCTTCTCCCTTGTTTCCATCAAATGAGCCTGAGGAAAAAAGACTTCTTTAGAAGATCTGAGACTCTTAAGGGGCTCTTAAAGGGAGATATGGGCCTTCACATAGCCTGGACTCAAGCCTAGACATTTTATTTATTTAGGGTATTTATACCCTGCTCTTCAGCTACAAAAGCTCTCAAAGCAGCTTACACATTGTTTATTTGACACTTCCCTGTCCTTACGCTTACAACCTAAAAAGGTATGACACAAAAGGAGAAGGGAATGGCAGTGGAAAAGGGGATCAGATCCAGCAGATACTGCTGGTTCTTCTCTCCCTAGTGCCTTTGATGCGCAAGTAGGAATGGAAATTGAATTTCTTTCCTGCCTCTCCCCCCGTGTATGTGACATTTTCAAAGATTCTGATAAATATTCTGTAGTTAGTTGGTGTGTCCCGCTCTGTTCTTAGAGGAAACTTACATTTTTCGGATTGTGGTAATTTTCATTTGTCAGATCACTGATTATAAGAAAACGCCTTATCTTCATCATATCTGGATAAATACTTAATGACAGCTAATTGATCCATGAATCGTAGACTCATGTGTCCCCACCCAGTCCTCTTTTCTGATACAACAATGAGGAGATTGAAATCATCAGCTTCTCATTTCAGCTGACCAAAGTTTTGTCTAAATTGGGATACTTAAGAGCTTAGAAAAGTCACTTTTTGGAATTACAGCTGTCAGAATCTTCCAGGCAGCATGGCCATAACACATATTGGCTGGGGGTTTCTGTGTTTCAATTAAAAAAAACCCTAAAAAACACAGAAAACAAAATTTTCAAGTTCCTAGACAAACCATGCATGATTTGGCCAAACCAATTTCAGACCAAGGTTTTTCATTCAGCTTGTTTGTTTAAATGATGATTAAAACTAACTGCAGTTCACAGTTAAGATGAAACAGCAAACTATTTAGTTTAAAATGGATGGGAATGCTTCAGATTTTCTCCTTTCTAGCTGTGCTAGAAGAGAAGGGTAATGCAAGTAATGTTAACATGGGGTCAATGGAAGCGGATGGCCTCCATGTTAATGGAGAATGAATCCACTCCATATTAAAAGACTTATCCAGAGACCTAAAACCTGGGGATAGGCTTCACACCTTGGGTGGCTCTTTTGTATTCCAGACTGGAGTGGGTTCACCACCTTACAGACATGGATGTCACCAGCTGTCAGTGACCATGTTATTGACCTTATTTAGGATTCATAATAAAGGCAGCTTCATAGCCCATAATGGGGCGGTCTTTGGGGAGGCATCTACTGTGAGCCATTGCACCACTATTTTAAGCCCTATTGCACCACTGTTTTAAGGCATCAGGAAAATTGTCAATGCCATCTTGATGAGAGTGTTCAGTTAGTGTATGTAAAATATACATGTTTGACTCCTTTTTCCTGAGATGATATTTAGACTCTTTTTAAAATTTAGATTGATTCTGAGCCAAGCTTATGTTATTTCACTTTATAGAAGGAAATATCTTATTTGATTTAAATTGACTGTGGACCAAGCCTCTGTTGTTATTTATGCATGGAATCTGAAGAAAATAAATGCATGAACATCTATTCCAGGGGTAGGCAACCTAAGGCCCGGGGTCCAGATGCAGCCCC